AATGAAGAGCCTCAGATATCTCCCTGCATCTCTATCACAGCAGTCGTTCTCTATCTTGGGTGTGTAAAGCTGCTTTTCTGGGTCCATGTCAATTTTCTTGTGTTGTTGTTGTCGTGTCCAATAAAGGGCCTTAGATGTCTCCATTACATCTCTATCACAGCAATGTCCTCTATCTTGGGTGTGTAAAGCTGCTGTTTTGGGTCCATGTCTATTTTCTGTTGTTGTTGTTGTCGTGTCCAATGAAGATCCTCAGATGTCGCCGTACATCTTTATCACAGCAGTCGCAATGTTCTCTTTCATGGGTGTGTTAAGCTGCTGTTCTGGGTCTATGTCAATTTTCTGTTGTTGTTGTCATGTCCAATGAAGAGCCTCAGATATCTCCATACATCTCTATCACAGCAGTCGCAATGTCCTCTATCTTTCATTGGAAAATAAGGCCGTTGCTACGTTATTCACCTTAGACCAGAATTTGGTCGAATATTCCAAGGGTCCAGGGGACCGCAGGAAGGTGTGAACGGACTCCCTTCCCCCAATTAGATATGGTCTGGGGCTATATTGATAAATGAACATTTTCTGCCAGCTCTCTAAACTATGAGTGCAAAGTCGGTACTGTAACTTGGAATATTTTTTCTCTCTCCTACCATTGACTTATGTGGGTAATAGAATATTTTCAATCTCCAAACTGCGATCCTATAACCATCAAGAATGTTGAGGAAAGAAGTATTCTCTGCGCTCTCTAATTTTCAAAATCACATAGGACAAATTTACCTAAATATTTACATTCCACGATAAAACTTAAGTGGAAAGTCTTTAATACCGCAAGACAAAGGCAATTTTGTTCACACTTTGGGTTTCTCGTGTGTCTTCAATAAAAGTCACTGTATATCAAATATCTTAAGGAAGTTGTACCTTTTAGCATTTATATCTAGATTCTGACAATATTTGTCCATGAGTGTAGTTCACACTTGGTTATCTCGTGTGTCTTCAATAAAGGTCACTGTAATATCTTCCAGAGTTATTGTCTGAATCCCTATATACATACTAATAGGTACAACTTCCTTAAGTTTTGTCCATGAGTGTAGTTCACACTTGGTTATCTAGTGTGTCTTCAATAAAGGTCACTGTAATATCTTCCAGAGTTATTGTCTGAATCCCGATATACATACTAAAAGGTACAACTTCCTTAAGTTTTGTCCATGAGTATTACTCAAGATAGAATTTTTTAATGGAAAGCTTAGTTCATCAAGTGATAAACCTTCTCAGTGATTCCTCCATTTCAATCTACCATTGTGCTATAATTGTTATAGTTTCATTCTACTTATATAGTCTTCAATGGAAGGTTTATTCTTGGTGATGTGAGGTTTTAAAGACACTATGAAAAGAGAGTTTTGTAGTTGCAGGAATTCCATGCGTTCAGTAATTCCATTCTCGTCCTACAAAAGGCGTTTACTAATTCAGACAATCCTGTAAGTAGGCCAGCTCTAGACTCCCCATCTCGTAGAAGAATAAATGGTGAAAAGTTGATTAAAATGTATTTCAAAATAATATTGGATTGAGTTAGTGTCTATTGTTTCTTACTTTAATTACATAAATCATGTGCTCTTAGTCTGGATAGACCTTCTTTATTTTTTATATCAACACTGACCTTTTTTTCTAGTATATTTTCACATGTTAAGCGTACTTACGCAAGTTTGGCCATAAATACCCATTTCTTTGTTTCTCAAGAAGCCTCTGGAACCAAAAGGATTTTAGGTCGCAGTGGTACAACTTGCTCCACGCTGACAAGCGCCAATAGCGCAAAAACACCTTCGTGGATGACTTTTCTTGATTTATCAAGAAAATGGGTTGGCCAAATATCAAGGAACAGGTTAAATCAATATTTAGTTGATTTCTGTTCCACCAGATGGCGCTTTGCCATCTAAAAATCACATGTGCTTCTGGTCAGGATATGCCTTCTTTATTTTTATAAATAATTTTATTCGCGATCGAACGTTGTGGGCCACTGTATGCATTACATCCCAAACACAATGCGACGTCAGCCATCTCTGTCTTGAGCTCGATGTACCATCTCGGTGACTATTAAACCAGTGAGTTCCTTTAATTGGTCCACAAAGCGTGTGGCGGGGCGTCCAGGTATGTGTTGCCCAGACATCTTTCCAGTCAGTATGGTGTACTTAGGTTTATACATAAACAATATATTTGAGATTAAAAACTGCATTGACTAACCGTGAGAAAAGGTTCAAAAACTTCTTGATTTCTCTTGTTTGTCATTCGTCCATCTTTTTTAATTCACAGAGTAGTCTTTTAATTCTATCTATGAATATTTATAAATTAGACATATATAACATCTATAGTGTTAGACACTCTCATGGACAAAACTTAAGGAAGTTTCATATTTTAACCATAAACCACTCCTTATTTGCTTATATAACGGTGGATTTCTCATACATGTAAATTCGAAAATGTTCTCCTTAAAAATAATGTAAAAATATATAATAACAATAATAATAAATCATCTATATATATACAGTAGAATCCCCCTGTAAAGGATACCTAATTACAGAGCCAAAGTGTCCTTTAGGGAGAGATGTCCTCTTACCGGAGAGTTGCTAAATTGTAAAAATGGTAATTTTGCAAATGAAAGCTGTCCTTTGTAGAGAGGTGTCCGCTAAAAAGAGTTTCTACTGTATGTATGTATATATATATATATAATTAAAAAGACATATATTGGATCAAAATATCATTTATTTTACCAATATTGCAGTTGGCTGAACGCCAACCTTTATCAAGGTTTTATAACATACACGTGTAGACACTTGTATTAATGTGTGTCAACAATAAACTCAGCGCCACATAACGTCAACAGAATTAAGTTTTTAAAATATTTTCCTAATATTCAATGGGGAGAAGAAAATTTGATATATATATTTATATTTTGGACAAAAAGGGACGACAACTCCCTTAAGTTTTGTCTATGAGTGTATTTCATGTTGATTTTTTATGTCTTTTGGATGTGGAAAGCTAACATGCCATATTTCGATAGAAGAAAGATTGATGTGACAAGTCCCAATAGAGGAGAGCACAAACTGGTTCCGGTAAAAGGGAAAACTAAGAAACGTTTAAAAGATTAAAATTTCCAATAGTAAAGAATAATTGAGTGGAAAAAAGCATAAACGAGAAGAATTAAATTATCCAAAGATAATACAAGAGTGTATTGAAAGAATAAAAATCAATAGTAAACCTTCGTGGACTGGAGAGGATATAAGCGTTTTAATATTTTCCAAAAACCTAAGGTCGCTAAAGAACTACACTTGTGGACAAATCTTGAGGAAATGAAAGGTATTTACTGTTCACGGTCGTCTCTCTTTTTTTTTTTAAAGAAGACAGAGGCAATTTTGTTCACACTTTGTTATCTCGTATGTTTTCAATAAAGGTTACTGTAATATCTCTCAGAGTTATTGTCTGAATCCCGATATACATTCTAAAAGGTACAACTTCCTTAAGTTTGTCCATGAGTGTAGTTCACCTTTAGTTATCTCATGTGTCTTCAAAAAGGTCACTGTAATATCTTTCAGAGTTATTGTCTGAATCCCGATTTACATGCTAAAAGTTACAACTTCCTTAAGTTTTGTCCATGAATGTAGTTCACACTTGGTTATCTCGTGTGTCTTCAAAAAGGTCACTGTAATATCTTTCAGAGTTATTGTCTGAATTCCGATATACATGCTAAAAGGTACAACTTCCTTAAGTTTTGTCCATGAGTGTAGTTCACACTTGGTTATCGCGTGTGTCTTCAATAAAGGTCCCTGTAATATCTTTCAGAGTTATTGTCTGAATCCCGATATACATGCTAAAAGGTACAACTTCCTTAAGTTTTGTCCATGAGTGTATCTTCAATAAAGATCACTGTAATATCTCTCAGAGTTATTGTCTGAATCCCGATATACATGCTAAAAGGTACAACTTCCTTAAGTTTTGTCCATGAGTGTAGTTCACATTTAGTTTATCGCGTGTGTCTTCAATAAAGGTCACTGTAATATCTTTCAGAGTTATTGTCTGAATCCCGATATACATGCTAAAAGGTACAACTTCCTTAAGTTTTGTCCATGAGTGTAGTTCACATTTAGTTATCGCGTGTGTCTTCAATAAAGATCACTGTAATATCTTTCAGAGTTATTGTCTGAATCCCGATATACATGCTAAAAGGTACAACTTCCTTAAGTTTTGTCCATGAGTGTAGTTCACATTTAGTTATCGCGTGTGTCTTCAATAAAGGTCACTGTAATATCTTTCAGAATTATTATCTGAATCCCGATATACATGCTAAAAGGTACAACTTCCTTAAGTTTTGTCCATGAGTGTAGTTCACATTTAGTTATCGCGTGTGTCTTCAATAAAGGTCACTGTAATATCTTTCAGAGTTATTGTCTGAATCCCGATATACATGCTAAAAGGTACAACTTCCTTAAGTTTTGTCCATGAGTGTAGTTCACATTTAGTTATCGCGTGTGTCTTCAATAAAGGTCACTGTAATATCTTTCAGAGTTATTGTCTGAATCCCGATATACATGCTAAAAGGTACAACTTCCTTAAGTTTTGTCCATGAGTGTAGTTCACATTTAGTTATCGCGTGTGTCTTCAATAAAGGTCACTGTAATATCTTTCAGAGTTATTGTCTGAATCCCGATATACATGCTAAAAGGTACAACTTCCTTAAGTTTTGTCCATGAGTGTAGTTCACATTTAGTTATCGCGTGTGTCTTCAATAAAGGTCACTGTAATATCTTTCAGAGTTATTGTCTGAATCCCGATTACATGATAATGTATACAACAAGAAACCTGTGAGAAGATACAAATACCTTTATTTCACCACCAAAGACCAACTGTCAACTATGTTCAAGAAATCTCAGCAATGAGAAAGTCTACACCGAGGTAAATAAGCCAAAGTACAAATCGTTGCATCAACTCTTCAACAAGGAAACTCAAGAAGAAGATAAAGACATGGCTCTAGTTGGCTGAATTGGGCTAAGTTAAATTTTAGCATTTGGTCCCTTTCAACCAACTATTGGCCAGTCTTCCATTCTGCATACTTCACTGAGAGAGGACAAGTTGCCAACACAGTCTTGTACTATCTCCTTTTGATCCCCAACACATACATCATCGAAATACTAACTGAAAAACAAAATTTACAAAGAGAAATACTTACAACAATCTTTGGCGAAGAAAAAGCTATTATTATGAATCATTTGTATCAATCCAGTCATGATGATAATTATACAATTCGCACTATCAACGGCTTCCCTATACAATTCCATCCATATTTTATAGTCACCCAATTTGTCACATCACACGGAAAATTCCATAAATACTTACAAAAAAGAGATCTATCAGAAACACCAAATTGTCCCTGCGGAGAAACTAAACAAACTGCTCTTCACCTTATCTATGACTGTCCGAACTTTACAGAAGTGAGACATCGTTTGTTCCCTGATCTAAATGATTTAACTCTCTTACATCAGCCACTTTGTCTATATACATTTTATGAACTCTGTCAATACATGTAAATTTGTAAATATTTAATTCTAAGTTCTAATTTGTTTGTTGTTTTGTTTGTTTCCTCTGTAATAGGTGCAAATATTTCAATATCGCGTCTGGTTGATAAATAAATAAATAAAATACACACTCATCGGCAAAACTTAAGTAAATGGAAAGTCTTTGATGTGTCGCCGATGGTCAATTTTTTTAAAAGAAGACAGAGTTAATTTTTTCACACATAGTCATCTCATGTCTTCTATAAATATCACTGTGTAGCAAATATCTTTCAGAGTTATTGTCTGAATCCCGATATACATGCTAAAAGGTACAACTTCATTAAGTTTTGTCCATGAGTGTATCTTTCAGAGTTATTGTCTGAATCCCGATATACATGCTAAAAGGTGCAACTTCCTTATTTTTTGTCCATAAGTGTATCTTTCAGAGTTATTGTCTGAATCCCGATATACATGCTAAAAGGTACAACTTCCTTATGACTTGTTCATGAGTGTATCTTTCAGAGCTATTGTCTGAATCCCGATATACATGCTAAAAGGTACAACTTCCTTATGTCTTGTCCATGAGTGTATCTTTCAGAGTTATTGTCTCAATCCCGATATACATGCTAAAAGGTACAACTTCCTTAAGTTTTATCCATGAGTGTATCTTTCAGAGTTATTGTCTTAATCCCGATATACATGCTAAAAGGTTCAACTTCCTTATGACTTGTCCATGAGTGTATCTTTCAGAGCTATTGTCTGAATCCCGATATACATGCTAAAAGGTACAACTTCCTTATGTCTTGTCCATGAGTGTATCTTTCAGAGTTATTTTCTGAATCCCGATATACATGCTAAAAGGTACAACTTCCTTATGTCTTGTCCATGAGTGTATCTTTCAGAGTTATTGTCTGAATCCCGATATACATGCTAAAAGATACAACTTCCTTATATCTTGTCCATGAGTGTATCTTTCAGAGTTATTGTGTGAATCCCGATATACATGCTAAAAGGTACAACTTCCTTAAGTTTTATCCATGAGTGTATCTTTCAGAGTTATTGTCTGAATCCCGATATACATGCTAAAAGGTACAACTTCCTTATGACTTGTCCATGAGTGTATCTTTCAGAGTTATTGTCTGAATCCCGATATACATGCTAAAAGGTACAACTTCCTTAAGTTTTATCCATGAGTGTATCTATCAGAGTTATTGTCTGAATCCCGATATACATGCTAAAAAGTATAACTTTCTTAAGTTTTGTCCATGAGTGTATCTTTCAGAGTTATTGTCTGAATCCCGATATACATGCTAAAAGGTACAACTTCCTTAAGTTTTATCCATGAGTGTATCTATCAGAGTTATTGTCTGAATCCCGATATACATGCTAAAAGGTACAACTTCCTTAAGTTTTATCCATGAGTGTATCTATCAAAGTTATTGTCTCAATTCCGATATACATGCTAAAAGGTACAACTTTCTTATGTCTTGTCCATGAGTGTATCTTTCAGAGTTATTGTCTCAATCCCGATATACATGCTATAAGGTACAACTTCCTTAAGTTTTATCCATGAGTGTATCTTTCAGAGTTATTGTCTCAATCCCGATATACATGCTAAAAGGTACAACTTCCTTATATCTTGTCCATGAGTGTATCTTTCAGAGTTATTGTCTGAATCCCGATATACATGCTAAAAGGTACAACTTCCTTAAGTTTTATCCATGAGTGTATCTATCAGAGTTATCATCTGATTTCCGATATACATGCTAAAAGGTTCAACTTCCTTATGTCTTGTCCATGAATGTATCTTACAGAGTTATTGTCTGAATCCCGATATACATGCTAAAAGGTAGAACTTCCTTAAGTTTTATCCATGAGTGTATCTTTCAGAGTTATTGTCTTAATCCCGATATACATGTTAAAAGGTACAACTTTCTTATGTCTTGTCCATGAGTGTATCTTTCAGAGTTATTGTCTCAATCCCGATATACATGCTAAAAGGTACAACTTCCTTTTGACTTGTCCATGAGTGTATCTTTCAGAGTTATTGTCTCAATCCCGATATACATGCTAAAAGGTACAACTTCCTTAAGTTTTATCCATGAGTGTATCTATCAGAGTTATTATCTGAATCCCGATATACATGTTAAAAGGTACAACTTCCTTAAGTTTTATCCATGAGGTTATTATCAAAGTTATTATCTGAATCCCGATATATACATGCTAAAAGGTACAACTATATTTAGTTTTATCTATGAGTGTATATGTAAATTCAGAGGTATTGTGACACTGAATGATATTTCTAAAAATAAATAAATACACATACATTCTTTGAAATACACAACTTCTGCAAAAAAAATTCAAATTCAATTCCGATAAAAAGGAATTCTACTTTATGTTTATAAAAGAGGAATCTAGACATACCCCATGTATTCCTATTTCAAATAAATAACATGGAAATATATTCTCTATACAAAGAAAGTATATTAAATTGAATCTCTCCTTATCTCAATAGCTCTTTTAAAGTATTTCATTCAATAAATGCATTCTGTTTTGAAAATAGAGAAATCATAAATAAATCTTTTAATTAAAAAGGCATATATTGGATTTAAATATAATTTATTTTACCAATATTTCAGTTGGCTGAACGCCAACCTTTATCAAGGTATTATAACATATTAGTGTGTGTCAACAACAAACTCAGCGCAAAATAACGTTAATAGAATTAAGTTAAAAAATATTCACACCCTTATTTTACAAAATTTATTTTGTCCATAATGTATAATTTTTTTCTCCCCATTGAATATAGGCAAATTTATTTTTTGGACTCAATTCTATTGACGTTATGTGGTGCTGAGTCAATGCTTTGATTCAATATATGCCTTTTTAATTAAAGATTTATTTATGGATTGCTCTATTCTCAAAGCACATTAATATTAAAAATAATGAAAGCATATCCTGACCAGGAGCACATGTGCTTTTTTTATAAACATTAATATGTTATAATACCTTGAAAATGGTTGGCGTTAAGCCAACTGAAATATTGGTAAAATAAATGATATTTTGATCCATTTCAGCCTTTTTAATTAAATATTATACGCTGACGAGCGCCAACAGCGCGAAACGCGTTCGTGGATGGGTTTTCTTGATTTATCCAGAAATTGGGTTGGCCAAATATTAAGGGAACAGGTTAAATCAACGTTTAGTTGATTTCTGTCCGACTAGATGGCGCTCTGTCATCTAAAAAGCACTTGTGCTCGTGGTCATGATATGCCTTCTTTATATTTATTATTCTGTGCGTAATTATAATTTTAAAATACTTTTTAAATATTTAAATTATTTTTTTCACATAATAATAAAAAAATCGCAAAGTTTAATATTGCCAACAAATTTTTTAACATCCAATATAAAATTTAAGATATAAAAAGGTTTATAATTTAGTGGATTTAATATAAAAGAAAAATTCATTTTTATTGAATTTTTTATAGATCTATTTTGCTAGGTAAAAAAATGTGATGCATTAAAGTTTGGAAAGCTACAAAATGAATGAACATTTAATATCTTAATATTAAATTTTTGGTTTTTTATTTTATAAAATCCAATATATTTGGTAAAAAATATATTTTGACTTTAGAATTTTTTTATTTTCTATTTTGAATACGTATATTTACAAGAGAGCTCAAATAATACATACAATAATTGTATCAATTGTGCCGTTTCTTTTCTGGAAATTTCCAGACGTAATATTTTAGATTGGCAATTTATTTTAACCTTTTTATAAATGTTCATTTGATTTTGATTTTATTTCTTTTAGAAATTGAAATATATTTTGTTTTAAAAAAGCCAAACTTTTCTAATTATTTTTCACAAGTTGAAATATCTTATATATATTTTTAAATTTTGTGTGTAAAATTTATAAATTTTATTTTATATACTCGTCTGAAAAGTATTAACTTTTAAAAATACGCTTTTTTAAAAGCGATTTTAAATATATATATATATTTTTTTTTCTGTATTTTATATATTTGTAGGAAATGAAAGCCTTATTACACGAATGTTTATTTTGATTTTATTTCTTTTAGAAATTGAAATATATTTTGTTTTAAAATAGCCAAACTTTACAAATTATTTTTCACAAGTTGAAATAGTTTATATATTTTTTTAATTTTGAAATTTATAAATTTTATTTTATATACTCGTGTGCAGAATATACATTTCTAAAAATACGCTTTTTAAAGTTATTTTTTATATTTATTATTTTCTGTATTTTATATTTTAAATATTTGTAGTAAATGGAAGCCTTAATGAACGAATATTTATTTTACACGTAAAAAAACTTCTACTATACTTACTGCGATGAAAAAATATTCGGAGGGCTTGACTCATCAGTGGTGAACCTTCCCAACGGTTTCGTCAATTCAATCTACCAGACCGCTTCTTAGAGCTCTAATACTGTACTGGACGATTCTGCTTATACACTGCGTGACATTGAAATTAGAACTCCAAGAAAGAGTGCCCAGAAAACGATGCAAATTTCAAGGTAG